AACTGACAGTATGTAATGATATCAGCAGTGAAACCAAATTCAAAAACAAGCATAAAAATATGTTGCTCAAAAGTTTGTTTTCTTCTGTTAGTTTGCTTCTTTGGACATGCAACCCAAAACGTTTGAGTTAATGTAGCAGATTCATGTGAAATTACTCAAATTTTAATCAAAAACTGGATGTAATCCTTTCCAGAGAACGTTGTGTGCTCATCATTATGGATGTTGATCTAAAATAAGGTCAGAAGGAAGCCATTTTCAGGCCACTGACATTAGAAATTCTGGCTTTAGGCTCAACAAAGCTCGTTAACTCATTAATCTTAGTTAATAGCTCGCTGCTGCAGTGTCCTCAAGCCAAGCTGTGAATCTTCTCACCGTGCTGCTGCTCCTTACTCCAGAATCCAGACCGGCCAGAAGAGATAAAGCAAAATAATGCCCTTCCAGTGATCAATAACACATTACACACAGAGTACATAGCCTCCAGTATTTACTCATTGTTCAGTGTGTCCATTATCTCACTAGCACCATCTAGGCATGACATACTTGTCTGTTTTGTGACTCAAATATGTTTTACATCCCTCCTTTTATATTCGGATGTGGCTGGATGGTACAAGATGTGTGTTTTGATTTAAATTCAAAAGTAAAACATCAATCAGACATACATTGGACTTAAGTCAGGTTTAAACACACGTACAGGACCTTGTTTCACCTGTGAGCATCCCGCTCATTCTCCTCATTGTAAAATGGTAAATGGTCTGTATTTGTTTAGCACCTTCTTAAGGTTCTGCGACCCCCCAAGGTGCTTCACAACACTTTCAGTCATTCACCCATTCACACCCTGGGGGGATGAGCTACAATGTAGCCACAGCTCCCATGGGCGCACTGACAGAGGCGAGGCTGCCGCCACCGGCCCCTCCGACCACCACCATCAGGCAAGGTGGGTCAAGTGTCTTGTCCAAGGCATCAACATACATATATGGACAATGGGTTTCCATAGACTCCAATAATAAGTTTTTGTACTAAAATGGGAGGTGGCCACCACCGCCATTTTGACTGAGTCACAGGTTCCGTCAAGCCCAGATAATTCCACAAAAGGGAAGAGAGGTGGAGCTGAGGGTGGGGCTGTAAGGCTGGGATCAACTGACGACACCCGGTCGAACTAGCTACAAGCTGACCTGAAGCTAACCCAAAGCTAATGCGGAGGTGGGAATAAGCTAACGGAGGTAGCAACCTAGCTACAACCGGAGTTAACTGTGCACAACACCAGAGCTTCTGAGTCAGAGATACGCCGGGCTGAGCGCTGGGTAAAACCGGATGGAACACAGAGGTCTCCCGAAAGCTGCTGAAGGCCAGCAGTCCGCGCAGCAGACAGAAGCCACGATCAGACAGAGATGCACCGAGCTGCGGGGAGGGGAGAACCACAAGCCGGCCAGCAGTCCACGCAGCAGACAGAAGCCGCGATCAGACAGAGATGCACCGAGCTGACCGCTGGGTAAAACCGGGTGGAACACAGAGGTCTCCCGAGAGCTCCACAAGCCGGCAGCCGCACAGCAGACAAGCGCCGCTGCAATCTGAGATGCGCAGAGCTGCCGCTGGGGAGAACCGGGTGGAAAGGTTTCCATCCCTGAGCTCCACAAGCCGTCAGCCCGCGCAGCAGACAGAAGCCGCGATCAGACAGAGATGCGCCGAGCTGCCGGGAGACCCAGCCATCAGCCCGCGCAGCACACAGAAGCTGCGATCAGACAGAGATGCGCCGAGCTGCGGGGAGGGGAGAACGGGTGGAAAACAGAGGTCCCCCGAGAGCTCCACAAGCCGATAGTCGGAACCCAGCTCCACCAACATGTTATATTTCAACCCATTTTCTAAAGTGCAGCATTATGTTAAATGCACTGGGCTTTACCCTGTTACATTTAAATGTCATGGTTAAACAGTACATGTTAAAATCTAAGCTCAGCTCGGCAGTGACCGAAAATACATAAATATAATTTTACTTACCGAAAAAAATGAAGTGGAGACTCCTTGGACGCTCTATTAGTGTAATTGATGCCACAGCAAGTCATTTTGTCCAACAATTGCACAAAAAAATATCCAAAAAAGAATACACAAACACAGAGACTCAAAATCCCGGAGCAGTTCCCAAGCCAGACCGAGGCTCTACTGAGGCCTTTCCACGGAGCTAGCTCTGTGGTCACGTGGGTCTGATGCTCATTAATTATACAGAATTTTAGGCTTTTAATACACTTAAACAGAAGAATGAGAAAAAAATTCACCCCCCTCAGAGTTGTCATGAGTGTAAACTAGATAATTTAAACAAAAAACATGTTTTGGTACCAGGCTGTAAACATGTTTATTTCTGCTGTGAAATTGGTATTTTTAACATGGGAGTCAATGAGGATTTGCTCGCTTCTGACACCAGCCCCCAGTGGATGAGGGTGGAACTGCAAATTTTGGTACTTCCGGGTTTGACTCAATTTTAGAGCCTCATTATGGGGGCTTGGTCCAAGGATACAACATCATCATTCTCTGGTCGGAGCCGGGATCTAACCTGCAACCTTCCATTTACTGGACAAGCCGGTCTACCTCCTGAGCTACTGCTGTCCTAGTTGTCGGTGTTGAAACATGACACAAGTTGAGCAGGCAAGTCAACTGAGATTAACCAACACGTAAGATCCGTGTGTGAACGAGTGAGTGTGCGTCTGTGGGTGTGTTTGTTTGTGCGCTGCTATCTCTGCCCTGCAGCTCTACGCCGTCGGCTTCGGATGAGCTGACAGACCTGAACCGCCGCCTGCCCAGAAGCCACCAGAGAGGTTCTTGTTCCTGTGAGGTTGTGTTTCAGCGGAAAGATCCTTAAGAACGTTTCATGAGTAGCTTGTGGTTAAAGTGTGATTTCTAGTCAACATTTTGGCAAAAACAGTAAAAGTCAGAACTGGTGGTTGAAGTTGCACGTTGAGATTAAGAATTTGGTATAACATTATCTTTAAAAGCTGCCTTTTAAATCGGCCACATGAGGAACACCATGTTTCTAGGCTGAGGTGGTCCCTTTTTAAAATAATCCCTGAGCAGAATCATCCCATCAACAATTATCTGTGATGTTTGCTAAGCTGGGGCCAAACTCTGTACACGGCAGGATTAAAAAGGACAGCGTCCTCTGATTTGTTAAAGGGTACACACATTTAGATAAACATTGTTACTCCTGCTACACTGCTAAACTGATTTTCCCTCTGCAGTCTATAGCTTATTTTTACACTTGAGGAGAAAAACTGGGAGAAAAAAAACACAGGAAGACTGAATTTATATTTAACTTGTCAGAATCGAAAACAGAAACGTTCTAATCTCTTTACCAATCAATGAAATCCATAGCGAGGCTCTAACTCTTGTTTACAGGAAATGGTAAAGATGGCAGACTAGGGAAAGCTGAAACAAAGAGTTAACATCAGATGGGAATAAGAAAACTCATTAAATCTGTTAATAAGTAACTTGATCATTTAAATTCTTTGTAATGCCACATATTTTCTATCACATATCCAAGCATGGGAAACCCAGAAGAGAGTGCATATGAGACTTGGGTCTGTCAGTGTCTACAAAGCCTCCAAAGGGAGGACGCCTTCATTCTACTCCAATGACTGGACCACCTCAACTAACTCCTTTTAATGAGAGGAAGCAGCTTGGAGTGTGGAGGACAGATGCCTAGGCTGAGACTGGTCGCCCCACAACAGAAGCTCATTTCAGCCACTTGATTTTGGGATTTTGTTCCTTTGGTCATGACCCAAACCCCCTCTCCTTTTGGCTTAGCTCTCTTACCAAGCCATGAATGTCATATGTGATATCTGAATTTTAAAAACACATTTTGATGCTAAGAGAGCACTTTTTTTCTCGAATGGGGGCAAAAGTTATTTTAGGTTTTGTGTGAAAACATGTCCTGGACTAGAGCAGAGGAAAAACGGCTGTAGGATTAGCACACTTCGAATCCTTCCTTCAGGAGGAAAGAACCACCATAAAGATTCTGTGGTGATGTCATATATGCAACTTACTGACGTCTAAATTATAGTTAAAAGAATTATTAATTTTTACAAGCTGATAAATCTCAAAATACATGACCGGCGTGGTTTAAACACGGATCATTTATCTTGAAGTACCACATATGCGCGATCCAGGGTGTAAGGCAAAGCGGATTAGAAAATAACTCCTTTAGCCCCTTTGACTTTTTCTGCCGACCCATGACCGGAAATGTAAAATGATAAATGGCCTGTATTTGTATAGGGCCTTCTTAGGGTTCTAGACCCCCCAAGGCACTTCACAACACTATCATCCATTCACACACACACTGGTGGGGATGAGCTACGATGTAGCCACAGCTGTTCTGGTGCGCACTGACTGCCAAACACCGGTATGGCGCCAGACCCGTGCCACAACCCGTGAACGCGCATTGGGTCCACAGCGCGCGTGTGAATGGGACTCGCGAGCGAAAATATACATGGCAGCGCGCGTGTGAACGGGACTCGCGAGCGAAAATATACATGGCGAGAGGTAATTTGTGCACTGAGAGGGAGCAAACTGTGTCTGTGAGCGCACAAGGATGTGCACAAGTGACAAACCTGCATGCGCGCGTTGCCAACGAGCACACGGCAGAGGAAAACGTGCGCGCGCGGCAGCCTCTCTGCGCGCTCGGCAGCCTCTGCGCGCTCGGTTTCTAATTCCGCTCGCTCGGCTGTGAGGGGTTTTGGCACTCTGGAGGCGTGGCCTGTGGCAGATCTTCCCTGTCCTCTGATTGGTTAGTTTACCCCACACTTCACTCTCTACCTATCTATATAAAAAAATCTGAGATTCTGCAGTTGCTGTCATAGCTCAGCTGGAAGAGCGGGTGACTCTCCCCCTGGAGGATCCAGGTTGGAGTCCGGTCAAGGAACATAGAGTTGATGTCATATTATTCTTTCCTAATTCCTGTGATATTATTTTACAGTTGTGACCGTTCAACTGTCATTAAACGTCCGAATGTTTGCTGGGCAGTGTAGCTGTCGCAGTTAAATGTGGTTATTCATTGTCATTTGTTTGATTTAACTGTGGAAATATTTAATTTAATTTCTTTGTTGATTTGACGCCACCTGCTGGCTGGATTGAAATTTGACACTGGAAGGTGCGCGCGAGCGGAGCGAATGATTAACTGACACAAGCACGGAGAAGCGACCAGAAGAAGCTCACATCGGATAAAGAAAAGTGGACATGGACTGAAATTGCTTGTGAATATTAAGTGGAGAGGCGCACACGGTGTGTTTGTATATTTATCTGTATTGCATTAATATCTGAGTTATAAGTTTATGTTTCTAAAATTAATATTTGTGTTTATTGTTGTTCATTTCACCGTAGTTTTTCACGGTGTTTGCTGGTAACAAGAAGATAAAGAACCAGTTGAACATCAGTTGGAGCATGGCGTTTTATTCCACAAAAAACAAAATATCCTTCATGAGCAGTTACAGTGAAAAACGTGTCCTGTTAAGAAGTACGCAGCCAGAGCCCTGCATGCCATGCTTTGAAGACGGCAGTCCACAGTCTGCGGCCCAATCCGCATGAAATAAAGAGGGCCGATACGACGTTTTGGGAATTGAGCAGTTTTGCAGAGCCTTTCAACATCATACGAAACCAGGTCAGACTGTATCTATGAGTTAAAAAAAAAACGGACATTAACGGTGTATGCTACAGATATTGAAAGTTGTTTAAAAACGGACATTAACGGTGTATGCTACAGATATTGAAAGTTGTTTAAAAACGGACATTAACGGTGTATGCTACAGATATTATTGAAAGTTTGTTAAAAAGAAAAAAGGTTTGTTACTATTTTACAGTTTGAAATTTGAAGTAGTGTTCTCATGTTAAGTTTTCTTTCATTGTTCTTAGCTGTTGGTTTAAAATATTGTTCACAATGGAGCAGGGTGTACAAGAAACTCGTGTTTTAGAGGAAGTACTTGTAGCTTTAGAATTTGAAAAGTTACATTTAGAAAAGAAATTAGAAACTGAAGTTGAAGATGCAGAAAGAGAGGAAGTTGAAATACGCTTAGGTGAAATTTATGCAGACCTTGAAATACATAAAATAGGTTTGACTCAGCCATCATCCCAACCTGAGACAGAAGTGAGACGCTCAGAGCGTCAAAGAAAACTAACAGAAAAAATGCGTGACTTTAAACAGTCTGAGATAACAAGTAAAGAAAGAAAGTTTATGTCAACATATGTAAACTTTAAAGCAGAGATTCAACTCTCTAGGTCCAAACTTAAAAAGGAATGTTCAAAAGCAGAGTTAACTGAAATGATCAAATCAGTAGGAAAATGTGAATCTGACCTACAGCAAGATTATGTAGCTTTACGTACACTGACTACTCCATCTCAAGATTTCAGAAGAAAGATGGATAGCTGTTCTTCAGTTTCCACTGAAATGATGTTGCTTCTGAAAAGGCGCTATGCAGATGTTGATAAGGAGTTTGATGCAATTGCTGTAAAAGACTCACTCCTTCAGTTGCTTCAGAGAGAAGATGCTAAGTCAATGTATGGCTCAACTGTGTCTAGGGCTGAAAAAAGTAGCCAGAACAGTTATAGTAAGCAAGGAAGTCATGGTATCTGCAAAGAAAGCAGAGGCAGCTGCACGGTTGGCATCTAAACGAGCTGAAATAAGCAGGGAAAAGGAAATTTCTGCCCAAAGAAAGGAGATATTAGCTCAACAAGAGAGATTAAAATTGTTGGAAAAGCAAAGAGATCTTGAGGTTATTGAGGCTGAATACAATGTGTATGCTGAAGAGGAATCAAAATTGAATGCTGAAATAAGAAACAGTGAAGTAAAAGGTACTTTGTCTTTTAGTCAGCTTCCCAAACCTCTTAACAGTCCTCCATACACCCAAGCTATCCAGAGTACGGCACCTCCTAACTTTGAAGGTATAACCAACAAGATCCCAAAATATCTTCCAGTGCCCAAGTGTGATACTAGAGTAGCGTCAAAAGAAAGTGAGTTATCTCTAGTTCAAGCTTTAAAGGAGTCTTTAGCAATGACTAGACTTCCAATACCAGAGCCATTTACCTTTACAGGAGACCCACTGAAGTTTACTGAGTGGAGCACTTGCTTCAAGGCTCTTATTGAGACTAGTTGCACAAATTCAGCCCATAAACTTTTCTACTTGAAGAAATACATTAATGGAGAAGCTCTTGGTGTTTTAGAAGGGACATTCTATCGCAGTGATGAGGAAGCTTACAACCAAGCTTGGGATGCTCTGAACAACCGTTATGGCCACCCATTTGTAGTTCAAAGAGCTTTTCGGGGAAAGCTAAGCAGTTGGCCAAAGATCGGACCAAAAGAGTCACTAAAGCTGAGAGAGTTTAGTGATTTCCTTGTTTCCTGTAAGAATGCTATGCCCCATGTTCAGGGCCTCAAAGTGTTGGATGATTGTGAGGAGAATCAAAAATTATTACTGAAACTTCCTGATTGGGCAACAACCCGCTGGAACCGTCATGTGTCAAAACTGTTAGATGAAGGAAAGGAATATCCAGGTTTCACAGAGTTTGCTGACTTTGTGGCAGAAGAAGCACGAATAGCATGCAATCCAGTTTCTTCTTTGTTTGCTTAAAGAACACATTTGAAAAACCTGAAAAGGAACAAAAACGTCAGAAAGCCAGTGTCCTGATGACAACAACGAATGTGTCTACAAATGAAAAGGCCACAGCTGCAACACAGATCAACAAAAAATCCAAACCCAACCTTTCCTCAACTCAGAATAAAAGGCAAATTGAATGCATCTGCTGCAGGCAAAATCACTTTATTTACAAATGTGACAAGTTTACAGCAATGTCTCTTGAAGAAAAGAAGCAGTTCATTATCGACAACAATATGTGCTTTGGTTGTCTTCGTGTTGGTCACATATCCAAGAACTGTCAACAAAGAGTAACATGTAATGTTTGTAAGCGGAAGCACCCTTCTCCTCTTCATGAAGATCATCCACAACCAGATAAGCCTGAGATGTTACCGAAAGAGGAAAATGCAGCCACTGTATCATGCAGTGTGAAATTGGACAACAGTGATTGCACTTCAATGATTGTCCCAGTTTGGCTTTCTTCTTCAACAAATAGACCAGAAACATTGGTTTATGCTTTGCTAGACACCCAAAGCAGCAATACATTTATTGATCAAAATGTTTGTGAAAAATTACAAGCAAGAACAGGACCCGTTAAATTAAAGCTGACAACCATAACTGACAGGTGTTCTATTGTGCCTAGTCAAAGAGTGGAAGGACTGAGAGTTAGAGGGTACCACTCACAAGAGTATATTGAGTTGCCACCTACATATACTCGAGAATACATTCCACTTGAGAAAAACAGTATTCCAACTCGAGAGACTGCAAAAAAATGGCCCCACCTACTCAGCATTGCAAATGAAATGCCAGATCTCTTGGACTGTCCTGTAGCTCTCCTCATTGGTTATGACTGTACAAGAGCTCTAAAACCAAGGAAGGTCATACCAGGAGAGGATTATGATCCCTATGCAGTTAAAACAGACTTGGGATGGAGCATTGTGGGACCCATTAAGCCATGGACAGGTTCAGTGGGCGCAACTGGGACCTGCCATCGTGTAATAGTAAAGGAATTGCCATCTATTACACCTGCATCTGTGATTAAAGCACTTGAAGCTGATTTTCTGGACACTAACCCCAAAGAAGGGAACATATCTCAAGAGGACATTCAGTTTTTAGAGATGCTAAATGAAAACACTCACTACAATGAGCAAGGTCATTTAGAAATGCCTTTACCTTTTAAAAAACGTCCACAGCTTCCAAATAACAAGCAGCTTGCAACAGTTCGTCTGAAATATTTGAAAATGAAAATGGACAAGAACCCCAAGTACAAAGAAGATTACATAAAGTTCATGAATAATGTGTTTAAAGATGGTGATGCAGAGGAAGCAGAAGAAACACCACAGGATGGTAACACATGGTACATTCCACACCACGGTGTGTATCACCCCAGAAAGCCAGAAAAAATTAGAGTTGTTTTTGACTGCTCTGCTAAACATGAAGACACCTCTTTAAATGACCACTTACTTACAGGCCCAGACTTGATCAATACTCTGGCAGGAGTATTGTGCAGATTCCGAGAGAACAGAATCGCAATAATGTGCGATGTGGAGAAAATGTTTCACCGCTTCCATGTTAATCCAGAGGATCGAGATTTCTTAAGGTTTTTGTGGTGGAAGGATGGAAATACAAATACTGAGCCAAAGGAATATCGCATGCGAGTGCATGTGTTTGGTGCAGCGTCATCGCCTGGATGTGCTAACTTTGGCATGAAACATCTCGCCAGAAGAAACGAAAAGGACTACCCACTGGCAGCCAGTTTCATTCACAAAAACTTTTATGTGGATGATGGGCTTCTCAGTGTTGAAACAGATAAGAAAGCCAAGCAGCTAGTCTGTGAAGCACTCAAACTCTGTGTTAAAGGGAAGTTGCGTTTGCACAAATTTGTGTGCAACAACAAAGAGGTCATGAGTGTTATTCCTGAAAGTGAACGAGCTGGCAACACTACGGATGTAAACATGAACTACTCTGAAGTTCCAATGAAAAGTGTGCTGGGAGTAAAATGGAATGTGGAAGCCGATGTGTTCACATTCAGTGGAGCCCTCAAAGAAAGGCCAGCCACACGCCGAGGAATTCTAGCAACAGTAGCAAGTGTGTATGACCCGTTAGGATTTCTTTCACCCTACACTTTGATAGGAAAACAAGTACTCCAGGAAATGTGCAAAAGTGGAGTTGGATGGGATGAACCTGTTCCTTCCGTACTGGAAACCAAGTGGAAAGCTTGGCTCTGTGACTTGGAAAATCTTCGAAAAGTCGAAATACCTAGATGCCTCTTTCCTGAGAACCTAGGCAAAATCAAAAAGGTTGAGCTGCATCATTTTTCTGATGCTAGCAGCAGTGGCTATGGACAATGCTCATACATTAGGTTTGTTACAGATGAACAAGTGCATTGTGCTCTAGTTATGGGTAAAGCCAGAGTGGCACCTATAAAAATAGTCACAATCCCGCGCCTCGAGCTCACTGCAGCTGCAGTTTCTGCTTCTGTTAGTAACTTTCTTAGAGCAGAGCTTGAGCGGAAAATCGACGAGGAGTTTTTCTGGACAGATTCTCAAGTGACTCTTGGGTACATAAAAAACGATGCTCGTCGCTTTCATGTGTTTGTTGCAAATCGAGTTCAAAAAATAAGAGACACTACAGACCCAAACCAATGGTTTTACATTAAAGCTGATCAAAATCCAGCTGACCACGCATCTAGAGGCCTCAAGGTGGCAGAGCTAATAAACTCAAACTGGCTCACTGGACCTAAATTCCCTTGGGAAAGAGAAATTATCACGAACCAACAATCTCCAGAACTTCTTGTTGGTGACCCAGAGGTAAAAGTTCTTAAAACAGATGCTATTGAGCAAGACAGGTTTCTTGAGAGGTTCATGAAATGCTCTGATTGGATCACAGCACTTAATGTGGTAGCAAGGATTAAAAGTCTTGCAAAAAGAGACAAATCAGGAGCCATCAGTGTGAAAGAAAGACAAATGGCTGCTTCTGTACTCTTCCAGCTAGCACAGAAGGAAGCTTTTGAAGAGGAACTCAGATGGTTTAGTGAGAAAGGTTAAGATCCAAGTAGGTCAAAGAGATTTAGGGAAAAAAGGTGAACGTCTGAGACAACTATCTTTTCTGGAGAGACCTGTTCAAAAACTAGTGGTTTTGGTTAAAAGTGAGTCCTAAACTACAGTAAAGTACAAAATTTGATACAACATTAAAATGTGATATTTGAGTTTATCAAGTTACTGATTTCTGTGTGTTTCATAACAAAGGTTTATGGTTGATAGTTATTTTATTGAAAATTACAAGATTTAAAGTTCTTTAATGTGTAGTGAATTTCAATCATTGTAATTTTGGTGGCAGTGTAGCTGTCGCAGTTAAATGTGGTTATTCATTGTCATTTGTTTGATTTAACTGTGGAAATATTTAATTTAATTTCTTTGTTGATTTGACGCCACCTGCTGGCTGGATTGAAATTTGACACTGGAAGGTGCGCGCGAGCGGAGCGAATGATTAACTGACACAAGCACGGAGAAGCGACCAGAAGAAGCTCACATCGGATAAAGAAAAGTGGACATGGACTGAAATTGCTTGTGAATATTAAGTGGAGAGGCGCACACGGTGTGTTTGTATATTTATCTGTATTGCATTAATATCTGAGTTATAAGTTTATGTTTCTAAAATTAATATTTGTGTTTATTGTTGTTCATTTCACCGTAGTTTTTCACGGTGTTTGCTGGTAACAAGAAGATAAAGAACCAGTTGAACATCAGTTGGAGCATGGCGTTTTATTCCACAAAAAACAAAATATCCTTCATGAGCAGTTACAGGCAGTGTTTTAAAAAGTGCACATAAGCTAGATGGTTTTAACCAGGTAAAAATAGACTTGTGGGTGTAGGTATGTTCAAGTTTAAAAAGTTCTTGCCTCATTAATGTATTGTTTATTTTTTTCAGCATTTAACTGACAAATTATCCTTTCAAATAATTAATTGATGAGTTACATAATTGTCCATTTAGAATTGTTGAATGGACTGAGTCAAGGTTGGTGCACTTTATATATTTCAAAACATGTTTTTTATTTTAATTATGCATATAAATAATTTAATGTTAATTTATTGAAATATTTCTATTTTTTCATTACCTCACCCTTGTTTTGACAAAAACAAGACCTTGCTGGATAATATCAAGGAGAAACTATTTGTTCACAGTACTTGGCTCAGTGAGGATCTGTGTACCAAAGGAGGAGATACTCAGAAATCTGTCTGCAGATTGTTACAACCCAGACTGGAAGTGGTGGGCTGTAATAAGAAAGGAGACCAAACAGAGGAGTGGGGGGTTCAACAACTGATTTATTTAACCAAAGTAAGGATTTACTAAAGCAAGTTAGTGAACAGAAAATGGCCATCTCAAGGTTTTACTCGGATGTCCCTCAGCAGGGTGCAGCACTGTTGAAGGTCATCTGAATGAAAGCTTGATATGCAGCTTCTTTATGAAAGTGTGTAAATATACAGTGTGGTTGCCGTACATATGTTGAGGTTCTCAGACATCAGGCTTCTTTGCCCAGGCCTTCACTAGTGGGCTATTTTAAAAGTTGGTAAGGAGAAAACCCACAGCATATAGCTGATTGTTTACAAATGCAAGGAGGGGAATAACAATCAAAAAGCTTGTGTTCTTGGACCAGATGAATGGAGCGCTCCACATGCACTCAGAGATGTTATGGCTTCTGTTTCTATAACTTCACATGCAGACATTTGAGGTTTGCCAGAAAGGAAAGCTGGCCTGTACACTTTGCAGGGCACAATGTCATCAATGAAGAAACCCCTGTCTACCATGATGACCATCTCTAGTTGTAGCATTTTCAACACACCAGATTCCCAGGTTGGTCGCTGATAGTTCCAGCATACAGTGCTGAGACAAAGGTCACTGGCCTATGTGGCACAATCCAAATGAGCCTCTTCAGAGTGCAGTTGAACTTGAGGAAAATATATGACTCTGGAAGAGAGGGGAATATGGCCATTGACACCTCAGATCAGTGCAGTCAAGAATTACTGGTGTTTGGGTAGTCCTGAACGTGTTGTGATGCCCCCACCGTCTCATTGGATTTTCATTTGTGTTTAATTGTGTTTTTCTTCTGTTGTAGGCAGCTCGTTAAGCAGCCTTGGAGGCACCTGGGCTCAGGGTGTGGTGCTGCCTACAAAGCCTACTGTTTTTCTGCTTTTACTGGGTCTCTCCTGTGTGGTGGAGAGTCCTCACTGGCCATTTTCTGTTCACTAACTTGCTTTAGTAAATCCTTACTTTGGTCTCCTTTCTTATTACAGCCCACCACTTCCAGTCTGGGTTGTAACAATCTGCAGACAGATTTCTGAGTATCTCCTCCTTTGGTACACAGATCCTCACTGAGCCAAGTACTGTGAACAAATAGTTTCTCCGTGATATTATCCAGCAAGGTCTTGTTTTTGTCAAAACAAGGGTGAGGTAATGAAAAAATAGAAATATTTCAATAAATTAACATTAAAATTATTTATATGCATAATTAAAATAAAAAAAACATGTTTTGAAATATATAAAGTGCACCAAACTTGACTCAGTCCATTCATCAATTCTAAATGGACAATTATGTAACTCATCAATTAATTATTTGAAAGGATAATTTGTCAATTAAATGCTGAAAAAAATAAACAATACATTAATGAGGCAAGAACTTTTTAAACTTGAACATACCTACACCCACAAGTCTATTTTTACCTGGTTAAAACCATCTAGCCTATGTGCACTTTTTAAAACACTGCCCAGCAAACATTCGGACGTTTAATGACAGTTGAACGGTCACAACTGTAAAATAATATCACAGGAATTAGGAAAGAATAATATGACATCAACTCTATGTTCCTTGGCCAGACTCGAACCTGGATCCTCCAGGGGGAGAGTCACCCGCTCTCCCAGCTGAGCTATGACAGCAACTGCAGAATCTCAGATTTTTTTATATAGATAGGTAGAGAGTGAAGTGCGGGGTAAACTAACCAATCAGAGGACAGGGAAGATCTGCCACAGGCCACGCCTCCAGAGTGCCAAAACCCCTCACAGCCGAGCGAGCGGAATTAGAAACCGAGCGCGCAGAGGCTGCCGCGCGCGCACGTTTTCCTCTGCCGTGTGCTCGTTGGCAACGCGCGCACGCAGGTTTGTCACTTGTGCACATCCTTGTGCGCTCACAGACACAGTTTGCTCCCTCTCAGTGCACAAATGACCTCTCACCATGTATATTTTCGCTCGCGAGTCCCGTTCACACGCACGCTGCCATGTATATTTTCGCTCACGAGTCCCGTTCACACACGCGCTGTGGACCCAATGCTCGTGCACGGGTTGTGGCACGGGTCTGGCGCCATACACCGGAGCCACCGGTCGCTCCAAGACAGGTTAAGTGTTTTGCCCAAGGACACAACAGCAGCATTCTCTGGCTGGAGCCGGGATCGAACCTTCAACCTTCCAATTACTGGACAATCCGCTCTACCTCCTGAGCTACTGCTGTCCCAGTAAAGGGAGGAAAGACAGGAGACTTAGGCTCCCTGTTTCCTTAATTAAATTCTTGAGAAAAGATCCAAAGGAAAAAAAATACAATTAGAAGTATGTTTCTCCGATTTATTTATTTATTATTATTATTATTACATGTTTTTTTTTGAGCTAGTATTATCCTTGTTACATTTTTTACTGTGTCATTAAATTGTGCTTAAAAATATGTTGTTCTTGCTTCTGGTATTACATCTCATGAAAGTGTACGTAAATGCCATTTGTGTTTAAAACATTAAACAGAAAATGTGCTAGTGAGAAAAAATGCTAATTGTTTACAGAAGATGTGGAGTAATCAAACCTGAAAGAGCTCATCATGGAAGCAAAATCTATTCCTGACGAAAAAATGTTCAACAACTTGTTCTTTAATTTTACTTACATTTTGACAAGAATTTGCTCCTCTTGACTGTTTAAACCCATCTGGCTATTTCACAATTGTTGTCCCCTTTGGGATTAATGACACATTCAAATCATCACATTTAAGTATTAGCTTTTAACTCTAAATCGTGTGAAATAGAAATTATTCAAATTAATTTAACATTATAGAATCTTGACCTTTTAAAAAATAAACTGAAATTTGAAGATTTATCTAGCCTCAAATGGTGAACGGGTGTCAAAAATATCACACACAAGTCCACGAGGCTGGACAAATATCAGCTCATTTGTATTTTATAAGACATTTTTTTAAAGACCTTTTGTAGATTCTGACGCATTTCTCAGAACAGAGATGACTTATTAATCTGCTGGGTCTCTATTTTATTTCTCCACATCACGATTGAATGACTACAAAGTGTAGCACCGCGTTACCTAAATGACCTCCTATCCTGTTTTAATAACCATAAATCCACATGAATTATCAACAAGTGAATTAGTTTCTAATGACGAAGTGTGAACATGTTCACCACCACTTCCAGTCAACACATGTCACACATCTACTCATCGAATCATTAATGGGTGCCATTCAGCTGCTGGAGCGTTCTAATGTCTGTGGTAGATTGGTTTGTTAAGGTTGTGTCACCCTGAATTACACTAGATCCTGCACACTGATAGCCTCCCGATATAAAAGATTACATGCCTAACCAATCTTTGCAACCTGAGGTGATGCATTACACCCTTAAAAGGATTACATTTGTTCCATTAAGTAATGTCTTCAGCAATGTTTTAGAGCCAAACCACCATTTTTTTAATCTCTTTTGTTGTTGAATACCCCGCTTTTTTTGTTGTTTCGTCTCAGAGAAATTACAAAAAGGTCCTGTTTAAAATGTCATCGTGAGCAAAATTTATTTAGTTAATTACTGTAGGCCATCTTAATTATAAAGGAAACCTATTTGTGAACGTAGAAAATACTTAAGTCTTAAAAATAACAGCTTAAATGAATGTAACTAGCATAAACGTAACTGTGAACATCAATTATTTCAGTAGGCTGGTTTAGGTAGACTGTAAACTGCACTAAGCTGCCTACTTTTGCGTCCCCCCTGTGAAGCACACTTTGCAAACCTCCCCCGCCACAGCTCCTCATTTTCAAACTGTCTGCCTTGATCAATGTCTGTTGTCATCGATGCTGCTCTGCTCCGCTCTCTGAGGCCTTAGCTGCTGCTCCCCATGCCTCTGGCTCTCTACGTTTGCACATGGAAGGGCGCCGAGGTCCCAGAACAGAGCCACACTGCCAAATATAAATTACAGTTAATTGAACCATAATTGCAGATGGTTATGATTCTTTTTTTTTTAACTAAAGCTGTCCCGACTAAAATTGTTCTATCCTGACTAAGAGCTCATAATTAACTACTTACGTTGTCGTTTCTCATCTGACAGCGTGCCATTTTTAAATTAGGAGGTAATTCGGTGCACGATGTGGAAGCTGAAAAAGCATTTTTACAGTTGAGTTGGTTTAAAATTTTTATTTACTGAGAGGTTCACTGATGTTTTATGGAATAGACCAAGACAGAGCTTAAGAGTAACTCTCAGATTAAGACCAGGACTGCACAGTGGCGCAGTGAATAACGCTGTTGCCTAAAGCAAGAAGGTTCTGGGTTCAAATCCTGGCCTGGGTCTTTCTGCATGGAGTTTATATGTTCTCCCTATGCATCCGTGGGTTCTCTCCAGGTATTCTGACTTCCTCCCGCAGCCCAAAAATGATTGTCAGGTTGATTGATCCCTCTAAATTGTCCTTAGGTGTGATTGTGTTCATACATGATTGTTTTTCTTCCA